TCGGTCTTGGCTTTGTTTGCTATATCATTTTCATTGTGTGTGTGTGTGTGTGTGTGTGTGTGTGTGTGTGTGTGTGTGTGTGTGTGTGTGTGTGTGTGTGTGTGTGTGTGTGTGTGTGTGTGTGTAGATGCTCTCCCAGACGGAATAGACTTGTTCCTCTCTGTGTTTGCTGATGATGCAAGAAATTATGAGCAAGATTAAGACCAAGGAAGATAGCAAGAGGCTACAAGATAACTTCGGCAAACTGAAGGAATGGTCCAACAGATGGCTACTAAAGTTCAACCCGAGTAAATATAAGGCAATGAAACTAGGTGGAGGGAACATGAGGCCAGACACAAGGTACCGAATGGGAGATGAAGTCCTTCAGTAAACGGACAGAAAGATCTAGGAGTTCATACCACACCAACCCTGTCTCCTGAAGCCCACATCAAAACAGTATCATCAGCGTCGTATGCGAGGCTGGCTATCAGAACTGCCTTCAGAAAGGGATCATTCAGAACCTTATACGTGTTAGGAATATATGTAGTCCTTGTGATAAGGGGAAAATAAGCAGGCAGTTAGTACATTACATAACCGCTTGTTAGAAAGGCGGGGTCCAGGAGCTAACAGCCCAATCCGGCAGGCAGATACAGCCTCCATCAAGACCAGCTGCCAGAGGAGCACAAACGCCACCACCCAACTGGGTGTAGAATGAAACAAGCCAAGATACAAATTCACTCATTCTCTGACCAATTACTCTCCATCACTAATGAAAACTGATCTGGCTCCTTCCCCCCCCCCACACAGCTGGCTCCCCCGCCACGATAACCACCCCCACGATAACCACCCACACAACTGGCTCACCCCCCAAGATAACCCCCCACACAACTGGCTCACCCCCCAAGATAACCCCCCACACAACTGGCTCACCCCCCAAGATAACCCCCCACACAACTGGCTCACCCCCCAAGATAACCCCCCACACAACTGGCTCACCCCCCAAGATAACCCCCCACACAACTGGCTCACCCCCCAAGATAACCACCCACACAACTGGCTCACCCCCCAAGATAACCACCCACACAACTGGCTCACCCCCCAAGATAACCACCCACACAACTGGCTCACCCCCCAAGATAACCCCCCACACAACTGGCTCACCCCCCAAGATAACCACCCCTACAGAGCAGGCTGCTCCTACCTAAAATTCCCCGACGGACCCCAAACATATATTTCACACTTTGCTCACTGGCCATTGACATGAAGACGGGTTTAGTAATGACCGTGGTTAATAAAGTTGGTCTAGTTCCCATCATCCCCAAGGCTGTCATTAGCACGGGATGAGGCGCGCCCTTACCTACCTTGAGGTTACCTTGAGGTGCTTCCGGGGCTTAGCGTCCCCGCGGCCCGGTCGTCGACCAGGCCTCCTGGTTGCTGGACTGATCAACCAGGAGGTTGATACGAGGCAATTTTCAATAGCTTTTTGCGTAGCGTACAAATAGAAAATTTTGCTATATGCAATAGAGTGATAGATGAAAATATAATGATGCTCTATTATCCGCGATACATTATCTGCTCTATTATCTCTATTATCTGCTCTATTATCTCTATTATCTGCTCTATTATCTGCGATATATCTGGATATATTTATATATTGTCTGCTGTCAGCTTTTAGTGTCGAAGCGCGATATATATATATATATATATATATATATATATATATATATATATATATATATATATATATATATATATATATATATATATATATACATATATTATACACACACACGCCTGCATTAATGTACACTGAGGGACGGTCCAACTGTACAGTTTTATATAGAAATATTCAGTAATAAAAATATATTTTTTTCTGGATAAATGGTTGTAGCCATTTTATAAATATTTTTATTTTTTTTAACCGGCCAGCTATTATTTTATTTTAAAACGCTTTTTTTTTTTAATTTAAACGTTGCCCGATTTTTAAAGTGGGTTTAATCGTTACTTTTTTCCCAAGCGTTAAGAGGAGTTTTATCACGCTTATCTGTGGTCTTAACAGGGTTTATCTTTGGGGGTTTTTGTAATTATTATACGCTGTTGAACACGGGATTGATTGCTGTTGAACCTAATTACCGTTATGGGATTGTTGTTGAACCTAATTACCGTTATGGGATTGTTGTTGAACCTAATTACCGTTATGGGATTGTTGTTGAACCTAATTACCGTTATGGGATTGTTGTTGAACCTAATTACCGTTATGGGATTGTTGTTGAACCTAATTACCGTTATGGGATTGTTGTTGAACCTAATTACCGTTATGGGATTGTTGTTGTACCTAATTACCGTTATGGGATTGTTGTTGAACCTAATTACCGTTATGGGATTGCTGTTGAACCTAATTACCGTTATGGGATTGCTGTTGAACCTAATTACCGTTATGGGATTGCTGTTGAACCTAATTACCGTTATGGGATTGTTGTTGAACCTAATTACCGTTATGGGATTGCTGTTGAACCTAATTACCGTTATGGGATTGCTGTTGAACCTAATTACCGTTATGGATTGCTGTTGAACCTAATTACCGTTAAACAGTTTGTCGCTAAACGGGACCGTTAGAACCCTAGCCGCCCACCTAACCCATCTAGGGCCTGGAAAACGTCAGGATTGCGGTGCTTTACTTCGTAAATAATAGGTCGCGTTTTTAACGGTTCGACGTCGGCGTGCGTGCGCGCGCGTGCCAGCGTGACACAAGAGTATTGACAAGCTCTAGCACAGCTATGTACAACATTTGGCGGGAAAGGAATCAACCAATCACAGACACCGCCTCCAGGAGTCGTTACTGTCAATCACCACTACATCTAGAATCTCTCTCCGCTCTACTTCCTGCTAATATCCTCCCCAAAAAAGTAAATATATACGCACACACACATCGTAGCCTCGCCCACATTATACATATATACTCGGTCAACCTGTCAACGCCCTTCTCGCCGAAGCCACAGTTTTGTACATGTTGTTATAGATTCAGCTACTCGGAACAAGTTCCAAGTAGCACGGGCTATGGTGAGCCCGTAACTTACCTGGCACAGGAGCGGGGCAAGTAGTACGGGCTATTGTGACCCCGTAGTGGACTTACCTGGCACAGGAGCGGTGCTGGGAGTGGGTTTGTAGAGCATTTCGAGGAGGAATTCACCTTGTCTCCTGGGAGCAAGATCGGAACCGATTGAACACGTTCGCCAAAGAAGTGCTTGTGTCAACAGTAAGATTAGATCAGTGAGCAGACCTCAGGTGTCCGCGCCACAACCTGGTGCCTTCCTTACTCGTTAACAAAGGCTCCGGGAACGCCAAATTCAGTGTGGAAAATAAGTAATAATTTGGATGGCGATTAAGACATTAAGGAATGAGCCTGAAAGTTATTGTGTAATTAAGTGCATAAACTGGACGAAGATCTTATGTGGAACTATTAGATTAAGACAACCGAGTTCATATATATATATATATATATTTATAATATACCTCCCACAGTACAGGTGAGGGAGGTGGGGCGGCCACCTTCAGGAAGACCCAGAAAACCAACAAGTACAGAGGCCTAGAACGTTGTTACAGGTTCGTGCCAATAGGCTCTGAGACCCTGGGCGCCTGGGGTAAATGTGCACTTAAGTTCCTAAAGGAGGTGGGTGAGGAACTCATTGGGAAAACTAAAGACTCAAGAGCGGCCAGTTTCCTGTTCCAGCGCCTCAGTGTCGCGGTCCAGAGAGGAAATGCGTCCTGTATCTTGGGCACGCACCCGACCTCCGAAGAGCTGGAGGAGGTTTTCAAAAATTGATTGTTATATGTTTATGTAATGAACGGCAAAGAGGTAGAAAGAAAGGCCTCTTAACATGGCTCGAGTCCATGGGGAGTTGTGTAAAACCCTGGTTTATGTCTCGGAGAGGCTGCAAGATCCAAATAAGTTCAGTAGAACTTCTGGTTTCAACTCTTTTGACCATGTCGTAGCTCAGTCGATTAAGGCAGCGTCTGGGATGCTCTCAGACGCAGTTCGAATCCTCGTCACGGCCCTTGTGGATTTGTTCATTATATGTGTGTATTTTTTGTAAACTGTAGCAATGTAATAAAATAAAATAAAATAAAATTTAAGAACACAAAAAACAGGGGCGGTAGGAGAGGAAAATATCAAAGTGTTCAGCGAGAATCCACAAGGTTTTGGAGCCGGTCGGCCGAGCGGACAGCACGCGGGACTTGTGATCCTGTGGTCCTGGGTTCGATCCCAGGCGCCGGCGAGAAACATTGGACAGAGTTTCTTTCACCCTATGCCCCTGTTACCTAGCAGTAAATAGGTACCTGGGTGTTAGTCAGCTGTCACGGGCTGCTTCCTGGGGGTGGAGGCCTGGTCGAAGACCGGGCCGCGGGGACACTAAAGCCCCGAAATCATCTCAAGATAATCTCAAGAAGGTCTTCTTTGAATACTCTTTATTTTCTTCTTCGAGGCTGTGGGTCCCTACACTTGCACCAGAGGTGGTGTGTGTGTATATATATATATATATATATATATATATATATATATATATATATATATATATATATATATATATATATATATATATACATATATTATTGTTGTTCTATACCAGATATACCCCAAGGACGGCTGTCTTAAGGGGGTAAATCAGGGGTCCATGCAGTCATGTTTAAGACTGTCACACCTGACACTGGGCCAGGTGTTACACACACACACATGGCTCTGTTTCTGCTGGAGAGCTGTTCCCTGGGGCACTAAGCACAGGTGACGCAAATTACTGTCTGGGGTTTAAATATTGGGCGGTTTGTCCCACACGGGGGAGTGTACCCCGGCACTACTCTGGGGTGTGTGAGGGGTGGACACTGGGGGTGAGGGGTGGACACTGGGGGTGAGGGGTGGACACTGGGGGGTGACTGGGTGACGGAGTGCTTTACACACTATGAGGCTAATGAAGAAACAAACTCGTTATAAGGAGCAAACAAGCAACTTCCAATATAAACATTACCTCACCGTCTTGGCTGCAGGGTTGCCAAGAGGGCTGATCCAAGTGTAAGTAATCCCTCATGCGTAGGGGAGGTGGGGGTGAAGTGTTTAAGTGCGGTTGACAGAGAATGTTGTGGTTGAAGCGTTGGTGCAGCGTGGTTGGAGGCTGGTTAGAACACAGAGCGACACACACTACGTCCGTCGTCCCCGCCCGCCCACCGTACACTGGCGGCTTCTTCCCTCCCTGCCCAGCTGAAGCTCTCCTCCCCTCCTCCACCACCACCCCTCCCTCACACCACCACCACCACACCCTGGATAAGGGACAACCTTACCTTAGAATTAGACCCCTAGAATTAGACCCCCAGAATTGGATCCCTAGAATTAGTTCCCTAGAATTAGGCCCTTAGAATTAGATCCCTAGAATTTGACCCCCAGAATTAGACCCCTAGAATTAGACCCCTAGAATTAGATCCCTAGAATTAGATCCTTAGAATTAGACCCCTAGAATTAGACCCTTAGAATTAGACCCCCAGAATTAGACCCCTAGAATTAGACCCCTAGAATTAGACCCCTAGAATTAGCCCCCTAGAATTAGACCCCTAGAATTAGACCCCTAGAATTAGCCCCCTAGAATTAGACCCCTAGAATTAGACCCCTAGAATTAGCCCCCTAGAATTAGACCCCTAGAATTAGACCCCTAGAATTAGCCCCCTAGAATTAGACCCCAGAATTAGACCCATAGAATTAGTCCCCCAGAATTAGACCAGTAGAATTAGTCTCCCAGAATTAGACCAGTAGAATTAGACATTGATTAGTGTTGTTATTCATTCTTATATTAGAGTAAATAGTCATAATTCCCCGCTGGAGTATTCCTTCACTCCCGTACAGTTCTCACACTACAAAGGTCAATGTGGCATTTGTGTGTTAATGTGAAGTGCTGGACACACTCCTTGTGCCCAGTATAGCCACACTACTGAGTCACCTCACTTGTGTGTGTACACTGTAACCCATGTACACTGTAACCCATGTACACTGTAACCCATGTACACTGTAACCCATGTTCACTATGACCCATGTACACTGTAACCCATGTTCACTATGACCCATGTACACTATAACCCATGTACACTGTAACCCATGTACACTGTAACCCATGTTCACTATGACCCATGTACACTGTAGCCCATGTTCACTATAACCTATGTACACTGTAACCCATGTTCACTATGACCCATGTACACTGTAACCCATGTTCACTATGACCCATGTACACTGTAGCCCATGTTCACTATAACCCATGTACACTGTAACCCATGTTCACTATGACAGCCACCCCCAGTGACCTCTGGCAGTGGCAGGAACTGCACACACTAACCACTGGGAAAGAGCCACTAACCACTGGGAAAGAGCCACTAACCACTTGGAAAGAACCACTAACAACTGGGAAACAGAAACTTACCAAGAATGCCAGTTCCACAGATAACAAGATGCCACAACTCTCTTTGAATACTTAAGGCAAGGGAGCCCCTTAATCGGAGATCCCAGGTAGAGCAGATCTTAATGATAAGCACTTGGGAGCAGGTAATTGAGACACTCCTGATAATGACTAAAAAGTTGTTTTGCCTTTAATTATGATTTGACAATTACTGCAGTGTGAAGTTGTATAGATATGCTGCAGGACACCGTACCTGTGTTAGGTGGTGGTGGTGATGGGAGAGCGCCACTGTGGTGACAGGTAGATGGTCCGCCACTGGTATGAAGGGACGTGGGTTGGTCACTGGCGAAGGGTTATCTTGGAGGTGATACCTGAAGGGCTGGACTCAGCCACCCCGGCTGAGGTCATCTCAGGGCCTCAGCAGCTGTGAACTGACTCGCTGCTTCCTGGCGTCACTTCCGGTTAACATGTGATGCTGAGTTCTCACCACCACGAGGCCTGAACGACCTTGTTCAATAGCACTTCCGTTCAAGGGTCGTGAGGAGCCAATTGGTCTAACCTGACCACCCAGCTGACCACATACTGGGTCCTGATGGTTTAGTAGACAGCGCTCGGGACTCATAATCCTATGGCCCGTGGATCGATCCCCGGCGATAGCGACAGCAAACAGGCAGATTTTCTTTCACCCTGATGCCCCTGTTACCTAGCAGTAAATATGTACCTGGGAGTTAGACAGCTGTTACGGGCTGCTTCCTAGGTGTGTGTGTGTGTGTGTGTGTGTGTGTGTGTGTGTGTGTGTGTGTGTGTGTGTGTGTGTGTGTGTGTGTGTGTGTGTGTGTGAAGAAAAAAAATCCGTTGATTGATTTGACAGTTGCGAGCCGGGACCAAAGAGCCAGAGCTCAACCCCCACAAGCACAACTAGGTGAGCACTTAAGAGTACTTGATTCACCAACACTTTCTAATCAACTTTTCACTGCTCAGGGGCAGCTCTGCTCATAACAAATTCTGAATGTAATTTTTATGATAAAACTTTTTTAATATTATTCTTTTTAATTTGATCGTTGTGCTTATAATTAACTCGCGGCGCCGTCATTAATCTCCAGCTGGCTATTGGCTGGGGAGCGGTCATCTCCCCCCCCCCCATACACACCCCCATACAAACACCCCCCCACACACACACACCCCACACACACACACACCCACACACCCCACACACACACACCCACACACACCCACACACCCACACACACACCCCCACACACACCCACACACCCCACACACACACACACCCCACACACACACACACACCCACACACACACCCCCCACACACACACACACCCACACACCCCACACACACACACCCACACACCCCACACACACACACCCACACACCCCACACACACACACCCACACACCCCACACACACACACCCACACACCCCCACACACACACACTCTTCAGCACGGGTGGGACACGAACAAGGGGACACAGGTGGAAACTTAGTACCCAGATGAGCCACAGAGACGTTAGAAAGAATTTTTTCAGTGTCAGAGTAGTTAATAAATGGAATGCACTAGGAAGTGATGTGGTGGAGGCTGACTCCATACACAGTTTCAAATGTAGATATGATAGAGCCCAGTAGGCTCAGGAATCTGTACACCAGTTGATTGACAGTTGAGAGGCGGGACCAAAGAGCCAAAGCTCAACCCCCGCAAGCACAATTAGGTGAGTACAATTAGGTGAGTACACCCCCCCCCCCACACACACACACCCACACACACACACAGGGGGGCCTCGATCAGGGGCCTCGTAGCCTGGTGGATAGCGCGCAGGACTCGTAATTCTGTGGCGCGGGTTCGATTCCCGCACGAGGCAGAAACAAATGGGCAAAGTTTCTTTCACCCTAAGTGCCCCTGTTACCTAGCAGTAAATAGGTACCTGGGAGTTAGTCAGCTGTAACGGGCTGCTTCTTGGGGTGTGTGTGTGTGGTGTGGGAAAAAAAAAAAAAAAAAAAAAAAAAAAGTAGTTAGTAAACAGTTGATTGACAGTTGAGAGGCGGGCCGAAAGAGCAAAGCTCAACCCCCGCAAAAACACAACTAGTAAACACACACCCCACACACACACCCCAACACCCCCACACCCATCATCTTTAGTGTCCCATTATCAAAGTGGGGGAAGTAGGTACCCGGATTTAGATGCGTGAGTCCCCCATGGGGCTGGAGAATGGGTGGACCAGAGGGTGACTGTGACCTCCTTGGTTCGGGCGAGTCGGGTGGAGGGTGGGGGGGGGGGGGGGAAGAGTCTCCAGTGTAAACAAACTCGACATTTTTAATCACCAAGACCTTCAAAAAATATATATAACCTCCCCCCCCCCTCCCTCCCTCCAAACATGTACAAGAATGTTCGAAAGTTTTTAAATATTTTGCTTTAGACACATTTTTGTTGTTTATGTTCGTGAAGTGTGACTAATGTTACCATTTATGAGAGTTTACGTCAGTTCTGTTGGACCCTGAACCATGCTCGGAGTCATCTTGAGGTTATCTTGAGATGATTTCGGGGCTTTAGTGTCCCCGCGGCCCGGTCCTCGACCAGGCCTCCACCCCCAGGAAGCAGCCCGTGACAGCTGACTAACTCCCAGGTACCTATTTACTGCTAGGTAACAGGGGCATTCAGGGTGAAAGAAACTTTGCCCATTTGTTTCTGCCTCGTGCGGGAATCGAACCCGCGCCACAGAATTACGAGTCCTGCGCGCTATCCACCAGGCTACGAGGCCCCATGTTGTGCCTTGACGTATGAAATCTTAGGTCACAAAAGTTGGTCATTTTAGTTAATGTAAATTATTTCCCGTAGCCAAATGATGCGCTCTTAAAGTATTGTTTTGTGTATAATATGTTCACCCGTTACCTAGCAGTAAAATAGGTACCTGGGAGTTAGTCAGCTGTCACGGGCGGCTTCCTGGGGGTGGAGGCACCCAGGAAGCACCCCCACCTCTCTCTCTCTCTCTCTCTCTCTCTCTCTTTCTCTCCCGCTCTCTCTCTCTCTCTCTCTCTACCTCATCCCAGCAATAAGAAGGAACCACTAACCAATCAATACATTATTCCAAGATCTCCACTATTAAGCTTCTGGGGACAATAAGATGTCCACAATCCTTGAAGAAGCACACAGAGAAGTGAATCAACATAAAAGACCGCGGAACGAGCCCAGAGTAATTAGAGGAGCAGCGTAGGAAGCAGTACGAGAATGACATAGCAGCCAAAGCTAAGGCTCAAGCTAAACTCTTCCATTGCAACAGTGTCCACAGGTGCCAGACACTGCCTTGTGTTCAACAGTCCAGCTGCCCGATTTGAACAGAGCAGAGTGTTCAAGGTGCTCATGAGTAATCATGTGAATTAATAATGCATATCATATATATATTTCAAATATACTGATCATGTATAAAATGTAATGTATAATTTAAATCATGTATAATTATCATGTATAGTGTAATGTATAATATAACACAAACTTATATCATGTATAATGTATACATATTGATAATGTATCTGTATAAAGAATGTCATACATATTGATCACGTATACTGTAATGCATAATGTATATCGTACATATTGATAGTGTATATCATACATATTGATAATGTCATACATATTAACCATGTATAATGATGTACAATATAGTGTAATGTACATTGATCTTGTATCATAAAATAATTTATTATACAAGAGCCACACATGAGCCACAATTAATTTATTATACACACATGGTGTATCATAAAATAATTTATTATACA